CTTTAAGAGGAGGTTAGACGAACACCTTGCTGGGGTCGTTTGACCCCAGTACTCTTTCCTGTGCATGGCAGGGGGTTGGACTTGATGATCTGCTCAGGTCCCTTCCGACCCTACCAGCGATGAAACTATGAATGGTCTTGATGGTCCACCCTGGGCAGATGCAGAGTTTTGAAAAGGGGGTGCAAGTGGTGCGATGCCTTGTCAACACACAAAACACAACAGCTGTTTTCCACCTGATAACAAGAAAGCTAGAAGCTTTGCTAATGTACCCAGGGCTTGGCACAGTGTGATTCAGTTCATGATCAAAGCAAAACCAAAGGTGACTTGAGTAAAATATGCTTTCTTTTGTTATTTCATATAAAAGCCACAGCAGACTTGGCCAAAACATAATCCAGAGATGTTGCCTCGTTATCCCTGGAGTCATTACAATTAAAAGTACGTGTCTTTCAGATTCACGAACCAGAATCTGGCCTTTTGGAGCTTGGCTGATGGTGACTCCAAGGCCCAAGTTCATATCTTTAGCTAGAGTTGGAACTCAGGATGTGAAAGGTTAAACATTTAAATGAGAAGTGTGTTTACCAGTAATGCATTACCAGCTTACCTAAGCAGTAAGGTTGCATGGCAGGCAGGAGGGAGGAGCAAGGAGGAGGGGAGGCGCAGTGGGGAGGACTAGTACCCATAGCTAATCTGCTCTCTCCCTCCCAGTTTGCCCATGGATGCAGTGGGCTGGAAAAACCCTCACCTGTTGCTGCTGTCTCCAGCTTCATGTGGGCTGTGTTGCCTGACAGGGCTTGTGGCTGCCACCTCCCCCCACATCAAAGGCCTTGGGAGCAGCTCCCAGCAGCAGCTGTGTCTGAATGGGTTGGTGTGCAGCCCCCAGCTCCCCTATGCTGCTCCAGGCAGGTGTCTGCAGGTCCTCCCCTGGTGCAGGACAGGGGAAGCATCAGTCCAGGGCTTTGCACCTCCCGGCCAGGACTAGTCCTGTGTTGTTGGTTAGCTGTTTAACCAATATAATCAGAAGTCAAATGGATCATTTTTATTTACATCCCTAGTTAAAACCAGTCTGTGGGCCTGTAAAACATTAGCTTTGATACCAAGAGAGGCTAGCAGACAAGAGAATTTTAGAAGGCGTAGCTGGATTAGTGGAACATCATGGCCATTAAAAAAGCACTTGTTAATGCACATGGAGTGATGAGTTTAGAAGGAATCCAGGAGATTCAGTTGACTTCATGGCTCATCTTACTGTCACTGGTGCCTGAATAAAAATGCTGCTGTCATTGCCAGGCAGTTGGTTTTAAATGTTGGGTGGAGCAGGAATCAAAGGGGGGTGCAGCTGCTCCCATGCCTGCCCTGCATCCACCCCTGGGTTCCACATTAGCTGTTAGCACACAGGAGAGTGATCTGGGAGTCACTGGACGGTTCAGCTTGGTGCTCAGCCACCGTCCAACAGGCAATGAGGGATTATTAAGAAGGGACTTGTGAACAGAACAGAATGCTATGCCCTTTTATAAATCCCTGGGGTGTTCACACCTTGAATCCTGTGCCCAGTCCTGGTTCCCATGCCTCCAAATGAATATAGAAGAGCTAGAGGCAGCCCAGAGAAGGGTAATAAGGATATTGGTGGTATGGAAGAGCTTCTATACGAGAAGAGACCAAAGAGGCCAGACCTGTTCAGTTCAGAAAAGAGATGCTTGAGTGGGGATAGTATTTTCATAGACATTAGGGCTGGAAGGGACCTTGGAAGATCATCGAGTCCAGCCCCCTGCCCCAGGGGCAGGAATTCAGCTAGGGTCAAAGGATCCCAGCAAGGTAAGCATCCAAACATTTCTTAAAAGAGTCCAGAGTAGGTATTTCACCACCCTTGGAGGGAGTCTATTCCAGGCCTTGGGGGCTCAGACAGTAAAGAAGTTTTTCCTTATGTCATCCCTTGGGGCACTCTGGTGAACAGGTGTTCCCAGATCCTGATGCACACCCCTTATATACTTATAGGTGGCCACCAGGTCACCCCTGAGCCTGCACTTTTCCAGGCTGAAGAGTCCCATGGCTCTCAGCCTTTCTTTATAAGGCCTGTTCTCTTGCCCTCTGATCATGCGTGTGGCTCTCCTCTGCACACTCTCAAGCTTCTCTACGTCCTTCTTGAATTGTGGAGCCCTGAATTGGATGCAGTACTCCAGCTGCGGCCTCACCAAGGCCAAGTACAACAGGAGGATGACATCCTGAGATTTCCTTGAGAAGCATCTATGGATGCAAGCCACAGTTTTTTTTGCCTTACCAGCTGCAACATCACATTTGTGGCTCACATTCATCGTGTGGTCAATCATGACCCCCAAGTCCCTTTCGGCTGTGGTGCTAGTGAGCGTAGCATTGTCAAGCCTATAAGCATGATGTGGGTTTTTTTCCCCTGAGGTGGAGTACTTTGCATTTTTCTGTATTGAATATTATCAGGTTTTTATCCGCCCACTTTCTAAGTCTATCAAGGTTAGCCTGGATCACCAGCCTATCCTCGGGTGTGGACGCTGTACCCCAAAGTTTGGTGTCATCGGCGAACTTGGCCAGTCTGCTTCTGACACCAGTGTCCACATCATTAATGAAGCTGTTAAAGAGTACAGGTCCAAGCACGGTGCCTTGGGGGACACCACTGGTCACAGAAGGTCATAATGATTCACTTCCATCGACTACCACTCTCTGGGTCCGATATTGGAGACAATTCCCCAGCCATCGGACTGCGATGTAGCCGAGGCCACAGTTGGCCAATTTTTCCACGAGGAGATCATGAGACACCAGATCAAAGGGTT